CCCAGCCATTGGACATATTTGCTGCTAGCCATAGCAGATCAGCTACATACCATTGTAGGCAGTCTCATCTGTTCCCTAAACTATCAAGTTCAGTCTTGAAGCCAGTTAGGTTTTTTTGCCCCCACTGCTCCTCTTGGGAGGCTGTTCCAGAACTTCACTCCTTTGATGGTTAGAAACCTTCATCTAGTTTCAAGCTTAAACTTGTTGATAGCCAGTTCACATCCATTTGTTAGTAGGCATATGTGGAGCAGGCGAGCTCCAACAGTTAGATTGCTTTAAGCATGAGATTTAATCTCTCTTTAGCTCTTGACACTCCACAACTTTATGCATCTCCATTGCAAATTTAAAAGCAAAATGTTCATGAGGCAGTGGTGATGTGATATAGAGCCTTTGAGTGCTGGGTCACTGGTCTCAACTGGAATGACACTGGCAGTAACCAAATATCATCACCTGCAGATGGATCATTTTTGTCATTGCGAAAGGTCTTTGTGGTCTCCTTCCAGCTCCTAATGTATAGGTACCCCCTTTACATGTCAACCCCATATCTGGCAGGCTGTTGGACTGCTATTAACAGACAGTGAACATCATCGGGTTGGCTCTCCAAACTAAAGTGTAGGAAAACTTGCACTGCTGCTTCCTGCGCTGTAACGGTCCTCTGGATAAAGAGGAGACTTCAGTCTTAAGGAATGTCAAGCCGCACCTTTTACTCGCTGAAAACTCACTTATAAAGAGCAACGAACGACATTTTCACACCTTGCTTTAGAGAATTTTTTATTGTTATTCTCCAGAATGACACTGATTTATCAGGGACAGACACGGAATGACTCAAGGAAACAGCAGCTTTCTGAATAGTCACAAATGGTCCAAATATTTAATAAAACCATTCATCCAATTTGTTTTACGTTTTAAAAAAATCCTCTGATACATTGAAAGGATAATATGGCACCATCACTACCCTGAACTATGCTGAAACACACACTGATCACAGAGGTTCTTCCCTTCTCTACTGTCCAGCTGAGCTCCGACTAGAACCTGTCACGGCGGAGCATTCTCTACTGTTTTTTTACAGAAGTGGAACCCACCATGATTCAGTGCAAATTTCCCACAGAACCTTCTCTTTCCTTCTCAGAAAGCACATTATTAGATCCCAGACCACTTCACGTTAGGACTATTTATGTCATAGAGTAGGCTACGCTCACAACCACCATTTGCCTCCACCAACAAATTAAAAGTTACGTGTGGTGTGTAATGTTCCAACTAGAGGCAGGACTGAGCTGGAATCATACATCCAGGAGTTTGGGGAGATGCTAGGTTGGATTTGAATCCACAGATCTACACCCACCCCTCTAATTCTGGATCTGGGTTGAATCCAAAGAGCAAAGGGACCTTTTATTCTCCAGGATCTTGTTTGGCTTGGTGTAATCCAAAGATGATGGAATTCTCCTGAGAGGAGATTGCTGGATTTCAGCCTTCAACCTTCACCTGACTCAGATCCAAGCACCGACCCTTCTCAGCCCATCTCTAGTTCGAACACTGAGCCAGATTCTTATCCAGAGCCCAAAGGGCTTTCTCTTAGGATTTGAAGAGATTTGTCATGCCGTTATGGAGCCCCATGTCCCTTTTCTCATTCTATGCCTGACACTTTACTCCCAGGCTGTGAGGTTTATTATTTTATCTTTGTGTTACAAAGGTGGGCCTGAGTCAGTTCCGTAAATGGGG